GCAATAGGCTGCCCAGGGCTGTTGGGAACCTGCAGAGGTGTTAAGAGCAGGTCAGACCAGCCTCTGTGGGGGTGATGTGATACTTGATAGATCAGTGGTTCTCAACCTTTTTTGTACCAGGACCTATTTGTAAACACCACTGCCCAGTCCCGACCCAGTAAAGAGTTTAAGTTGAAAAAAGCCCCCTGCCCCTGCTCCTGTCCCTGCCCCTGCCAGTACAGGGGGGAGGTGTTAGTCACTTCTGGGACACTCCTCCCCTCATTCCTTGTCTATAGATATATTCTCCTACCCAGTTTTATTGTTCTCCAGTCAACTTTATTTCCAGGTCCCCTAAAGCCTTGTGCCCCCAAGAACCCCGCAGGAAGTCAGAAGCACTTCCCTCAAAACAACTGCTTGCTCAAAGCAAGCACCATGCGAGCAGGGGAAAGAAAACCTTGGTCCTGCCAGCCCCTTTGGTTGTTTGATGTGGTATAACATGTCTCGAGGGAATTGTATGGCCAAGAGTGATACCTGGTGCGTCGGTGCTATGGAAATGCTAAGCCCAAGTTGATAAATCATTCTTGGGCCTTGCACCTAGAGGAGTGGCCAGTAGGAGTCGTACTGAAGTGTTGAGCAGACAAGAGCTCCCTTCACTGGCACATAGCCCCAGCAGAAGGATTGGACATGCCTGTGGGAGATAAGCCAGAGAGGAGCTTCTCTTTCAGACTCACTAGAGACTCTTCACTGGAGAACATACAACAGTCACAGGGAAGATGCATCCAGTGCACAGAAATTCAGTCCTGCAGTTTGAGCACGTAACAGTTTACATAGGCTAGATAGGCCACACGGTTGGCTTTAGAAAGACCTTGGGGTTTGCTGCTCTGAATGGACAGGTCTTGAATCAGAGGCTGGGTTTGTACAGGAGCCAGTGTGTATGGTTTTGGGCATAATGGAGCTGCTGACAGGCCCCAGGGCTCAAGCAGTTGGAAGGACTGGTTAGAACAGGACTGAATGCCGGGAATCAAACCAGAACAAGCCAAAGTCTACACACCGCTGGGGAGCTGAGAGGAGGCAGGATGGGGAGGTTGAGCAGGAGTCTGGACAGGGAGGCCTGGGAGCATTGGCTTGACCAGTGTGACACTGCTTATTGCTAGGTTGAGAAATCAGGCTTGTTACTTTGGAGGAAGGGAGGATTCAGGGGAGGGTTTTTTACAAGAAAACAGAGGTCTGCAAGGTCTGAAAAGAAAAGGCCTGAGATTGCCATAGTTGTGTTTCCTCCTTGTGCTGGAAACCTTTGAATGTTTGAGGATGTGTGAACAAAATGTCACACCCTAACTTTTAAAACGACCTCCCTTCTCCAGATGTGAGTTCCGTGTTGCAGATAAATGATGGCTGGGGAGAGACAAACAAAGCGCTGAATTTGACACAGCAGATAAAAATCACTTCCCTTCTCCTTTGCTCAATTATCTCTCTTTCCTCCAGTTACCTGATTATATCATGAGGCTGCCTGGTGCCACGGTATCTCTGAAATCCTCCTGCAGTTGCAGACTGGCTGCTTGGCATTTCCAGCTCTATTTCAGCAGAGTTAATGGTGCCAGGGCAGGTGAACAGGGAGCACAGCCACAGGACAGGAGTCACTGTTTGCTTCTGGTTCACTATGTGGTTGCCAGTGGACAGGCATGAAGTTGGCCCCATCCAAGTGGTGCCAGAAAGCCTGGGGGTGCTCTTAGCTGCTGCAAATTTTTCTTATCTAGTCATCATAAGTTAAAATGGCAAGTCCCTGTGGGGGCTGTCTGAGTTGGCTTGGTGTTTGGAAAGTAAATGGGGCTTTTTGGAGAGACCTGCAAGTTGCTGCAGACTCCATGGCTGGATTGGAGTCTGAGCTCTAGAAAAGAGGCCTGCGTGCCGGGAGGGTCTCTATAGAGCTGCCTACTGGGCTGCTGGCAGGAGAGGTGTCAAACCACTGCTAGATATTACCTCTGTTGTCAGCAGTAGGAGGTGACTTCTCTGTCTTCCTGTCCCCTGCATTGCAGAACAGCTCAGGGAGGGCTAAACTCTGGTCTTGTAGGGTGTTTGGTCTGAGCAAAGTCTGCCTGTGTGTGTTCTGTGGCATTTGCACTTCTGGTTTTGTTTTGCCCGCAGACGCTGTTAAATGGTGCTGCGTTTCAGGGCATTCCCCTCCTCTCACCTGCAGCACAGCTTTGGATTTTCCCTAAGTAATGATAACAGTGAGCAGAGAGAGGAAGGCAGGCAGGAGGCAGAGCAGAGATCTCTTATAGACTAGTCACGTCAGACCTGCATAAGCTTCCAGGAGCCTGAAAACACCCTCCTTGTGCTTCTTTTCCAACAGGGTGCCTGAGCACTTAGTCAAGAGCATCACGTGGCAGACACTTCAGGCTGTGAACTTCTGCCACAAGCACAATGTAAGTCCCACAGACACTGGCGGTGATAGTCCTGGGGTGTGCGCGCCCTGCTACCAGCTCTCGGGGCCTTACTCTGTCAAAGCTGGCCACGCGACCTTCAGGTGTTGTAGGAAACGTGTTTCTGGAGCGTAGCCACATGCTCTCGATGAGGTTTGTTTGCTCAAGGTTCCAGACCTCGGGTTCACTGCCCTACAGCGATCGGAGCAGTAACTTGAGCTTGCCTTCCAGTCCAAACAGCAGCTTACAGCAAAATACCCATGTCACCAAGCCTGTCTGCAGCTGCAGAACACAGGCCTGGCGTTAAGTAGCATAAAGCCTGATCCAGCTCCCATTGATTTCGGTGAAAGCCTTTCTCTTGACTTCAGCAGGCATTGGCTCGGACACCGGGTGAAAGGATACACGATTAAATATGCCAAGACTGTGGAAGTTCTGCAGAAATCCTCTGACTTTTGACCAGTGCTGTTAGAGACAGGCTGGGTAAAGCATGTCCTGGAAGCCTTTGGGGGAGAGGAGGACTTGATTGTTGGGTGGATTCTTTCCTTGCAGTCATATTCCTTCTTTTGCTTTGCCTGCCAAGGCCTGAGTGGAATGTGGGGCCAGAGACCTCTGGAGAGAATATTTTGTCTCCATGCTGGACCACAAGAGTGGCAGCTGACCAGTCTGAACCACAGGACTGTTCTCTGTCTGTCTGTCTGTCTGTCTGTCTGTCTCTCTCTCTGCCAGAAGGAATCACTAGGTCATTGGTTTTAGCCTTCTGTGCATCACAGTATATGCATGTCACCTAAATATCTTCAGAGGGCTGAATTATAAGCTGCTGCCTCAGGACAGAAGAGACCACAGTGCTTCCAGACTGACCCATGCTTTATAAAAAAGAAAAAAAACCCACCCAAGTCCTTACCAGTCCATCTGGGGGAAATCCAGATGTGAAGACCGGTTGGCCCTGGAGCACATAGACAAGGTGCACTCACCAAGCATTGGAAAAAGGGGTTCTTGTGTCACCCAAGCCCTGCTACAGAATATCCCTCCTGCAGGTGACTAGCTGGGCCCTGGCACACCCAATGTGATCAGCCAGTATTGTGAGGCCAGGCTGCCAGTGCTGTGTGTGCTGGGGCAGCGCAGGATGCCCGGGGAGCAGGATGCCCATGCTCAACACCCTAGGAAATTGCATCTTCTTTCAGGACTGACCTGGCATATATTCGCTGTCTTCTAGTCTTCATCTTTTTCAGCAGGGGCAAAAGTCCCCCCACTGCCAGATCTCTCCTTCCTGTACAAGCACCGGGTGATGAAGTCACCAGCTTGATAAGCTGAGCTCTGTAAGCCCTGCCTTGTCAGGCTCAGCTTCCAGGGCTCAGATCACTTTTCCGGCCCCCTTTGTAGTCTCTCCAGTGTTTCCATGCCAGGCATGGGCCCCAGGGTGGGGTGCAGGAGCAGTCTCCTCAACATGGTGTTCTCAGTGGCAAGCTCCCTGCTGCCAGTCCTTTCTTCCTCCAAGTGGAGTAGTGGAGTGCTCACCCCGACCCTGCTGTCTGTTCTTGCAGTGCATCCACCGGGACGTGAAGCCGGAGAACATCCTGATCACCAAGCACTCGGTCATCAAGCTTTGCGACTTCGGATTTGCTCGCATCCTGAGTAAGTGCTGGTTGCTGTGGCCTGTGCTAGAGCCCAAAGGAAGCATTTGCCTGGGCACCTACATTGTGATCCAGACTTGCTTTGTCCTCATGTGATGCTTGTGCATGGCAGCTCTCTTGTGAGGTGGGCTGGCGTTTACAAGGAAACACAGGTTGTGGGTGTGTTTTCACAGAAGAGTCTGAAGTGGGATCTTGAGAGCCCCAAGCTAGATGTAAATGAGCTGACTTGGATGCCTGGGGCAGGCCAGCCTTGCCTGCACAGGGCCTGGCCTAGACTGCACTGTGGTCTCATGACTGCAGTGTGGGTAGACTGAGTCTCTGTGATAGACTGGCCTGTTCTGCAAAAGGTCCTTTCCCCTTGGGAACAGTGGCTTCACTTTTCCTGTAACAACAACACCCATGCCCAAGCCCTGTGACCAGTCTTGGAACATCTGGTCCAGAAGAGCCACACACAGGCTGAGGCCTGGCTTTCACTGGGCAGCACCACAGAGCTGGTGCTCAAGGGTTTCCCCAGAGCAGAAGTGGCCGTGAGTGTGCACAGCAGCTCTGCCTGATGGCTTTCAGGTCGGTTAGTCATTCTGTTGGTACCTGAAACAATGAACAAGGCACTTGCTGCACTTAAGAATTCTGACACTCTGGTTCTGTCTTTCCTTACCCCGCTCCAGCTGGACCCAGTGACTATTACACAGACTATGTGGCAACCCGGTGGTACCGTTCTCCTGAGCTGCTCGTGGGAGATACTCAGTATGGCCCTCCTGTAGACGTCTGGGCCATAGGCTGCGTTTTTGCAGAGTTGCTCTCTGGTGTCCCTCTGTGGCCTGGCAAATCAGATGTCGACCAGCTGTACCTAATCAGGAGGACACTAGGTAAGTGTCCCCTGGGTGATGCACTTTAGGTTGTGCTGATTTCTAACCCCTTGAATGGCATGATAGTAGAAATATTGCATGCAGCTGCTACACAAGGCTATCATGATAAAGTCCAACTCCACAGATCCAGAGAGGTAGGGGGGTGTGTGTGTGTTAGGAAACCCTCAGGTTAGCCCCTCACAGCTGAAATCACCATTCCTTTGCTTTTGTTGCATTTTATTCCCTGCTAATGCAGTGGCCTGACCTTTGAGTCTCAGAAGGAAAGGCTGTGCCTGAGAGCAGCGTGATGATCACTGTGCAAATACACTTGAGCTTCCCGGTAACATGCCGGTGAGAGGTCCTGACTGAAAAGCAGCAATGACTATGCTAATAGTGATGTTGCAACTCCCTTTTCAATAAGCTCTAGCACCACATAGGTCACTGTAGACCCACTACTGACAGCGACCCAGCACCAACAACTCCCACCAGCATGAATGGGCATAGAGGCAACCCTTGTGAGAACAGTATTTTAATGAGGGTCCCTTTTTAAGAACATAGCACTGGACAGGGACATCGAGTCAAGTCCTCTGCCACCAGTGTGACCTAGAGGAAGAACTTCCTGAACCCACATTTAGTGAACGGTGTGACCTTGATTTCCAGCCTTACAGTCTATGATTGGAAGGACAAGATCCTTCAGCCAGGAATCTCTGGGTTTTCTAAGCAGTGGTAGGAGCACCAGTTAACCCCAGTAATCTTGGAAGTGCCCAACCTCCCAGTGCTTCAGAGGGAGGTGAAAAAAGATTCTGTATTTCCTGTTGATTTCAGTGAGAGGGGATAGTTTTCCCGAGCACCTCTTGTTCAGGGGCTCTTTACACATGTGATTGCAGGTTCATATGTTCAGGGTGCTAGGTGCTACCCAGGCATTCTTGCAGCCATTTTTAAAGGGCTTACATTAGTAATTCCATTGCCAAATCATTTTTCCAGTCTCTGGGAGCGATGTCAAAGGGTGGTTTGGGGTTTTTTTTAAGGGGCTGCGTGAATCATGTGGAAACACGGAATTATGAAGGTTGCTTGCTCAGGTTAGAAAGCTGATTTTGGTTCTGTTGCTTTTGCAAACCCTTCATATTTGCCCATCAAGCATGTTCAAGGGATCAGCCTTTGCTGGAAGAAATACTTCCTCACCGGGAGTGACTCTGATACTCAAAGAGGTGACAACAAATGTTGAGTATTGTGTTAAGCCCCAAACCTGCAACTGGTCCCACACTTTGACCAGGTTTCACCTGCATGGAGCTCACCAGGCCCTCCAGACCTTATAGTGCAACATTCAGTGAGTTAAGGGTGCCCATGGAGGATGGAAATGAGGGCATATGATTTACATACGTGGGCAGCTCTGCAGGCAGGGGACACTTGCAGTGAACACTGCCCAAGCTGGCAGCACAGCACCCTCTGTCTCCTGCCAAATGAGGGGTAGGGGCTGAATGTTGTGATCTGAACAGCAGTAAGGAAAGGGAGCATTTAGGCAAGTTATTTGTCCTAGATAGGGGCCATATTCAAAGGGGGTGCAGCGGCATGATTGCATACCCCCTTTCCACAGTGTAGCTCAGTGGCTTTGGAGTCCAGATCACACTGTGGGAGCAGCAGTTGGGAACTCCTTTTTAGGTCCCCGAAGCAGGTAAGAATTCCCCCGCTCTTGGCATCCTCTCCCTTCTCCTCCATGGTCAGCAGCATCTCGCCTCCCCTCCATAGCTACTTCTTGGGGTTCAGGTAGGGGAGACTCACCTGATGCTGCTGCTGTCCCCAGCTGACATGTGGGTGGGAGAACCTTAGAGCTGTTCCTGCCCTGCTCTAACCAGGCTGCAGGGAGCAACTGCATGGGGAGCTGAGCTCCACCAAGGACAGCGGTGGTGACAGGTGGGTCTCCCCTTCCTGTGACCCAACAGGCATAATTAGAGAGAGAGAGTGAGGGGAGTGAATGGGAGGGGAGGGAAGGTAGTACAGAGCATGGAGAGGAGGGGAAAGGGTGCCAAGAGGGAGGGTTTTTACGTGCTTCAGGGACCTAAAAATAAAAAAAGTCCCTGGTTGCTATTCCTGTGGCAGGGTCTGCCTGCCCTTGGTTGAGGGGGGAGGCTGGGAGTGGGGGTGTAGCCACCCCTGCAGCACCCCCTTTTTTTTGAAATCCTGGATCCACCTGTTCTGTGGATTATTTGCTCAAGGCCTTCCCTTCCTCCTTAGACCCCTCAGATTTCTTGAAGATTGTCCCCTTGGTATCCCCTTTTGACCTCAGAGTGACTTTCATATTTCAGTGTCTGTGCTTCCCAGGGGCTCTGGATGCGATTCTCACTGCTCTGGCCCGTCTAGGCTTCTCACTGTGCCCATCACGGTGGTACCTGAATGTCCTGGGCCTAATCCAATGTCCCTGTGAATTTCTAACTGACTGCTGTGCTGTTGCTCAGGCCACTGCTAACTTGGGCATAGGCTGGCAACAGTATGACAGGAGCTGTTCTCGTGGGTCCGTTCTCTGGATCCCCCCACTCTCTTCACAAGCTGCATTTTGTGATAGTCCTGACTGCTTGTCATCCTGGCCAGAGCTTTGTTTTCAAGGATGGAAAATGATATAGGAGCTTTTCATTAATGTTTAGCAAGAGTTTGTTCCCTCTACACCACAGGTTTTCTAGCACAAATGAGATCCACTTCTGTTTTTACCATTAATCTGACCCACGTCAAGGTTTGAGACAGCCCTGGTATTTTTCCAGGAAGAGCAGTAAGCTCCCTGCCTCTGCCTCTGGATTTGGCTTATCACCCTGGGGGAGGAATTCCAGTCAAATCCTGCAGAAGATTAGGGATACTTTCATATTTTGTAAAAGTATCTTCAAATGCAAAGGGAGACACTTTGAACAGTTTAGGGTTGAGCTTCTCCCAGCTGTCAGCTGTTTTGCCACAAAGGAAATCGCAGGAGGTTTTGGATGTGGAACAGTGGGGGGTTTTTTAAAAAAAAGCTCGGCGCTTATCTGTTTAGTTGGACTTAAAACTCTGTGGTATGGACTAAATTTTCTCTTATTGCTTCTGTTTCACACTGGTACGTAGCAGGCGCGGAGCCGATTCTCAACTCTGGGTGGAGGAAACAAACCTGCTTTTTAATTGTAGTGATTCTTGAATAAATCAAGATTCATATTTTCTTGTGGGACAATTTAGAAAACTGTTGGCTTATGAAAAAGATCAAGGGACTAACACACGTGCTATAAAATACACACAGTTTGATTGCTGTGTCCTTGAGTCCTCTCATTCAAGCTTTAAGTCATTTACTCACTTTTAATAATCGGGTTTCAGCTGAGAAGGGTTTCCGTTGGACCTGAGCTTTGGAAAGGATTCTGGCTCAGGCAGGAATTACAGAGAAGAGCTACTTCACAGCTGTGTGCTGATGTACTATGTGTAGTGTTACAGTGGCTTGACAGCTTGTTTGCTGCCTGCTGCTCTTTCCTGAATGGAAAGGCTTTGCAAGGGGTTTGCGAAGCCCCCTTGGGGAAGCCTCATATTAACACCTTCTTCTCTGTGCTGCCTTTCAGCCCATCCTGGCTCCTGAGAGCCCCAGTGGAAGTTTAAAAAAAGTCATCTGATTGGAAGGAGCCTGAGCCTGTGCCCTGCCAGGGGTCAGGAATGGGGAGGAGGGGAGGCCCGTTGTTAGGAGCAGAGCATTTCTCGGGAAAGCTTGGCTTTGAGAGTGCCAAAGCACAGCATCAGTGCTGAGAACCAGGTTGGCATGACAGTCCCTGCCCTCCTGGTGAACAAAGCAGGCCCTGCACTGCCAGCCCAAAACAAACAGCGGCTCTTGCCAGCTGCTTATTGGGATGGTGGACTGTGCCATTCTGTCCCAGTGCCTGTCGGTTCGTCTTGCCTGAAACGCTTTCAGGCATCCCCAGCATTCCCTCCCCTTGGAGAGCCCTGGACAGTCTGATGGCAGGCGGGGGGCTGAGCTTCCCAGCTCTGCTAGCCTGATCTCACAGCTGCTCATGCAGCACCCTCTAGCTTCTGCACTGTCCACACTCCTGCATTTCTGTCCAGCCAGTGCCAGAACTGTATATAAGAGCACAAGTGGGATGACAACAGCGGTATTGATACCTGTCATATCTGTGTGTGTAATAAAGAGGGAAGTACCCCTGCTATTACAAAGTGCTCTACGTTACAGTAGCAAGGTGTCCTTTAGGCTGCAGGGGTTGGACTTTGCCAACATGATGTAATTTCCAAAGAGGTGTTAATACCCAAACTGGTTGTGACTGGGTGGCAGAGTGTGGAAAGGCAGACATAGTTAGCTGTGTGGGAGCCCAGATCATACCGCATGGATAGGGTCTGGTGCTCCTGCTCTGAAGGTGTTACCACTTCAGTGTAAGGGGAGTTCCCATTAGCAGTATAGGGGCAAGGGCACACAGCCTGACTCCACTACTGACAACTAAACATCCAGCAGAGCTAGCCAGCTCACTGCAATAGTGAGGTTTAAACATGTCTGGTGATCAAGGCTTTTAATGAGGGAAGTGTAGAGGGGAAGATTAGTGCTCGTCTCATTACTGATTCTCTCAATGCCAGTATGTTAGTGTTAAACTTTTCCCTGCGTTGCTGCAGACTAAGCTTCTGAAGTGCGGGCACTGCTAACCTGGGCATGCTAACCTGCTTGCTTTGTGTTCTTGATCAAAGGGGACCTAATTCCCAGACATCAGCAAGTATTCAGCACCAACCAGTTCTTCAGTGGGGTAAGGATTCCAGACCCGGACAATATGGTAAGGACACTCTGCAGACTCCCAGCAATTGAGTCTAACGCTACTCAGCAAGTCGCATGCCGTACTGTAGAGATCACTGTATGTGGCTAGAGAAGGGTTTTCTGGGGTGGAAAGCTCAAGTGTGGTTCCCAGTGCTGTACACTGGGTTACAGCTAAGCAATAATTGGAGATATTGACCATATTCTAGGGGATTAGTGACCTCCTAAAGCAACAGGTGGCCCAAGCTGCAGTTCAGCCTGTTCGTGTGCCCTGTGCAAAACCCCACACCAAGGGGGTTGTCACTATTGTAGACAGCAATTAATAACCACAGGCGTGTGTCCTGGAGAGGAGAACTTTCATCTCCCGCGCTGTTATGTTCAGCTCAAAGATTGAGCTTGTCAAAATCTTTGTAGGCTTAGGGCTATAGACAGACCCCAGCAGCTACATTTGCTCTCCTGCTGTACAGGATTATTATTCCCCACTCAGAGGCTTTGCCAAGCCCTGTTTAGAATGGATCCTGGGTGGAGAGCCTTGGCACATGTGCTTTGAACAATATTTTGCAGGACTAGCTCACTTCAGTCTGTTATTTTTAACTTGACATTCAGCATATTTCCCTCTGGTCATTGTCATTCCCTTGCTGTCCCAGCCCCTGCCTTTAATGACAGGCCAGTTCCAGAACAGGTGTCTAAGCAAGTAGCGGAGGATGCATCATGGTGTGGGAAGCAGGTCACGTAGGAAAGGGCACCTGATCCGTGAAAAATGTATGAATAGAATGGCACTTTATTTTCACAGGAGCCACTGGAGGCGAAATTCCCTAACATTTCATATCCTGCTCTAGCCTTGATGAAGGTAAGCAGACGATAGGCAATGACGTTCTGAGCTCATTCGTAATGAATGTAGAGCAGCTGAAGAGCTGACTTGATCCTGGCCTGCAAACACCTGCTCTAGTATTTAATTAATTGATTTAGTATTTAAGTATAATATATGTATTTAAGACTTCTGAGAGTGTAGAGCGTCAAGCAGAAAATGAAATAATGAGAACCACCAATTGGAAACTGAAGGTGAACAAATTCAGACTGGAAATATGGCATAGGATAACAGAAAAGTAGGGCCTTGTGAGGTCATCTAGTCCAGCCCCCGGCTCAGGGTAGGATTGTCCCCGACTAAACCATCCCAGCCAAGTGTCTGTCCAACCTGCTCTTGAAAACGTCCAAGGCCAGAGATTCCACTTCTCTAGGCAGTCTGTTCCAGTGCTTGGCCGCCCTCATAGTGAGAAAGTTCCCCTTCATCTCCAATCTCAATTTTCCCTACTGTAGTTTGAGGCCATTACTCCTAGTCCTCAAAGTCCCCTATAGCCACAGAGAATGGACTGTCTTCATCCTCTCTGTATCACCTCTTGGGGATTTGAAGACTATTATCAAATCCCCCCTGTCTTCTCCAGATTAAATAACCCTGGTTCTTTGAGCCTTTCTTCATAAATCCTGCTTCCTAGGCCCCTAATCATTTTTGTTGGTATGCAGTGAGAACAGTTGGACAACCTCACATGGAGTCTTGATTTACATTAAGGTTGAATGCCTTCCTGAAGGATCTGCTCTAGCTCATGTGGAAGTTGTGGGCTGGATGTAGAAATTACAGCAGGATGTTCTGTGGTCTGTAATATATAGAAAGTCAAACAAGATGGTCTATTCTGGTAGGAGATTCTATTAATTTACTTCCATGTTGCAGAAGTAGGAATTATTCAGTGTTAACCCCTTGTGTGTGTGTGTTTCATGGTTTAGGGAATTCTGTTCTGACTGTTAACATTGGCACTTCCCGAGGCCTGGAGCTTGTTCTTTGTAAATGGCGTGTTCGTTAAAACCAGCTGCTTTTATCAGCCATCCTGCAATTAGTTGATAAGCGTTGTACCGTTCATCCCTGTGTGGTCCTCTACTGTTTTCAAAGGGCTGCCTTCATATGGACCCTGCTGAGAGACAAACCTGTGAGCAGCTACTGCAACACCCGTACTTTGATGGCATTAGAGAATCGGGAGAATTGGGAAAGGAGCATGAAAAAGCTGCTCGGAAGCCAGCCAGGGCAACACGAAAGCACATGCCAGGGGTAAGACTTGTCAGCAGTAAATGTACCGTGCTTAGTAAAGGAGCTGGTGTTCTTGTAGCTTCTACCACATGGAGTTTAGTTTCTCACACCTGCAGTATCTCAAGATAAGGACCCCTAAATCAGACCCAGTCATCCAAGAGCTCCCCTTTGCTCCTACGGCCCCAGTTCCCACAACAGCTTTCTTCCCTGCTGACACTGTTGATGGTAATTGGAGGGTTGTCAGCTTGGGATGTAGCACATTTCCAAGCTACTTCCCATTCATGTGTTCTAAGACTAAGCCAATTCCCACAGTCCTCTGCCACGTGATCGATGGATAAGACCCATGTTCTTCTTGCCCTAAGTGGAAGGAGCTGAGTTACGGAACAACAAATAGTACATACCTGAGCAGCTTCTCTAGAAGTGTATAACTATTTTATGTGGGGCAGATGTATTTGATTGGATTAGCCTACTTCACATTCCTATGAAAGCACAAACTCTGTCCTTTCTTCTTTAGCTACAGCACCTTCCTCAGTTAACCAGCAGTAACGTGTTACCAGCTTTGGATAACAAGAAGTATTTTTCCAACACAAGAAAACTGAACTACCATTTCCCCAACATCTGAGAAGATACCGGCCACTACTAACAACTAAACTACAAGCCCTCCAGAATTTTTTTTAAAAAAAGATTTGAGGTGAAAAACTAAACCAACATAAATGCTATGATACGGATGTGAGTGATCTGTAAAGTTACTTGTTAGGGGACATCAAAGGAAGGAAAATCCTGCATAGAGAGTGCCCAAAGCTGTTAATCAGTGTTCTGTGTACAAAGCAAAACACATAGTTATGTTGCTTTTATTTGTGATTGTATTGTGGTTTGGGATTCCTGGGAACCAGTGCTTACAGTATGTGACACTAATAACGTGCATCTACTGCCTGTATTGAAGACTTTGCAGTCAAATCATGTGCATGCCAAACAGGTTTGTTCCAGAAAGCCCTGTTCTGTCAAAGTGATAATATAAACCATTGTCTGTGACTGTATTACACAGCAGGAATAATAGATGCAGCAAGGACTCGTGCACAGGCTGCGCTGCATTCCTGTGAGCAGGGAGTCCTACCTGAGGAACCTGCTATGTTCTTCAGGATTGGGCCAGCAGGCTGTCGTGCTAACCGCATCAGTCACTCGTTTGGATGAACTTGCTGAAATCCAAGTATTTGTAGTATTGCCCCAAGTTGTGCACTTCAGATAGGAAAAAGAGCATTAGGAAGAGCCAAGATCAGTAAATGTAGCAGAATGCCCCTCAGGCGAGGTTATCACTTGTGGAGGGAATAAATGTAATTAATAATACCATGGTCTTGCTTTAGACTAGATTTTACAGGACTCCTGCCTCTGTCTTCCTAGCTTTATCCAAGAGGCAAGGATTTCTTAGGGCGATAGCTTTCTATTGGACCAGCTGCATAGTTGGAAGAGTTAGATAAGCTTTTGAATACAAGATGCTCTTCATCGGGTCTGAGCAGCTAAAGGCTGCAGAGTATAGTATTATGCAGTGGTTTCGTTTAATGTTTTGCTGTTGACCCAGTCATTTCTCTGTAACTTTGCAGGTGTTGATATTGCCCAAACAATCCCAGGACCTGTTTAGGAAGGCACAGGCAGGGAGTGCTCTTCAGTAGCTACCTTAGTATACATCTCATTTCTTTGGGTAATCTTGGGATGTAATATTCTGTTGGGTTTTAATAGAATACAAGTAACTTGTCTTTCTGGCATAATATGTGTCTTAATGTTTGGTAAGTGTACACAGTGATGTATGTACGTAGAACCACTTCAGGAGTCTTTAACAGCTGTTTGAAGTACAGAGCAAGAGGTGCGTGTTCTTTTGAATACTATAGGTATAATGCATTTGAAATATATGAGATTCTCTTAGTGAGGCAGATCATGTATCCTCACACAATTAAATGTCTACTGAACTTTCTATTTGTATCCTCATATTGGAATGTTCAAATTCCTGGACTAATACAGCTAATGTATTTTAATCTTGAGCATTGTTCCACTTGTATTTTTGGTCATATCCTTTTGGAAAAGAATATAAATATCTTTTTGCAGGAATACCAGTTGTCCAGTCTTGCACTTTTGCAGTTTAACAGAGCAACCATGCTCTAGAAGTACATGCTGTTTGGGCCATGAGGCAAATCAAGGATATGATCCTGCAAGATGCAGGCGCTACTGAAGTTCCAGATCTCAGACCCAGTCTTGCTGCAACCATCTGCTCAGCAGCAGAAACTGGCCAAGGTTCATCTTGCTCAAAATGTGGTGTCTGATGGGGGCTAGCCTCTGATGCTGTGGAGGAAAGCAAGAGAACCCTAGAGCTGGAAGAGGAGGGATTGTTTCTGTCCTCACAAGGTCACATCTTGGTCTCTCATAGTTAGGGTTGGACTTGCATCCAGAAGTAAAACTACACATTTGGAGTATCTGGACCCGAGTGATCTCCCCTGTACTAATGGAGTGTGAGACATTCAGTGAGAATCGGTATTATTTTATTTGGATTCTCCTCATAGCCAGAGGCCCCAGGCAGCACGCCACTGTGTTAGGTGCTGTACAAACACAGAATGAAAACACTGACTTCAAAGAGCTTATAATCCCAGTGGAGACAAGTACAAAGATGCAGCGAGGCAGCGTTAGTCAGCAAGATCACCCTCAGCCTCAGGATGTCAGCAGCCTACAGGTACAATGTACAATCTACAGTGTAAGTGCCAAGGGGCTCAGAAACTTGTTCTGTTGAAACTAACTGGCTGATGCTAGGGTCCCTTAATAACCCCCCAGCATCCTTCTCTCAGTTCGGAGTTACAGCCCTTCATCATGTGTCGTGGAATCTCTGATGGGGTTCCATTTACAGTGTTACTGCACTCTATTTTAGTATGTTGCTCTTCATAACAAGCATCATCTTTAGTTTTCCCCAGTCATTTTAAATGTATTAATTAGTTAATGAAATCCCACACCCCAGGTAAGGATGCATCTAAAGAGCAGAGCCATTCCCACCTGCCTCAAGCTTTTGGTGGTTTTGGTGTGGGCAGCAGCTGTAAGGGCCTACACTTTTAGCTGTTGCCTAATAAAATTACACTGTCTTTTCCCTTCCACCCCACAGGTCCTCAAAGACACCCCTTCCACCTTTTTTGCCCTACTGAGTGGTCTCCTGTGGCCCTAACATCCATTTCTTTCAGCTGAATGGCAGGTTTTTACATTTACCCTTTTGGAATTTGGCTCCCAGGGATCTTTACCAGCATGCAGCCAGGATACAAGCAAAAACCTTCCTTCCTTGTCCTGTTGATTCCTGGATAGCCCTTTTCTCCCCAGACACCAACACCGAGAAAGGAACAATAAAAACACAACAACCCTTCTGAAGATAGATCATCTTCTTAGTTAGCAGCAATACAAAGTATTTGATACTAATTAAGTCTTCTGGTGTGCACACAATTTGTTCTAGGGTAAGGAGAAGGTGTCATTCAGCCCACAGTGATCTAAAGCAGCAGTCAGCATAAGAACACGCTCCAAAAAATCAAGTTTTGCAGAGAAAAACTTATTGTGTTCAGCACACCCCCTGCAGTCTATCCAAATGTGAAGAAATTAACAGCAAGCTATCTTCCCCACACCCACTAAGTAAGGCCCTCATTCGGGTAGTAAATAAGAGGTGACAAACATCATTCTGGTACTGTAATTCTTTAGCAATGGCACAAATTTATTTTCCATATTCGACTAGAAGCCTGTAGCACATTTAAAAATAACTGTAATTTGTGCATGAGAGCGCAGATTTTTAATTTATATTCTCCTTTAGCAGATGGGTATGTTTTCATTTTTCTTCAAGTTAGCTCTTTCAGCGACTCCAGAACTTAAAATTCCACGTACGTCTTCTCGGTTGTATTTAACTGACAGAATAAATTAAATTTAATGAAATTTAATTATGCAATTGGTCAGGTTTTTGAAATAGCTGCAAAGCCCAGAATGAGAAGGCTGGTTGTAGCAGGAAATGCAATACAGTGGCAACTGCAACATAATCAATACAATTCATGATAAATACAAAATAACATACTTCAGTTATACAAAGGTGATTTTTATTCTAAATCGAGTTTCACCTCCAGTGACGGCAGTGATTGCTTAAGGATTTGAACAGTAGTTTCTCTCTCTCTTATTGCAGGAAGGTCGCTCAGGAATAAATATTCTA